CCTTTGTACGTAATGGTCGCGATATCAGTGCATCGTGTTAATGAATTTAATATTTGATTATCGCGACCGCGATTTATCTTCTCTTTCCGTTGTAGTATGCGAGACTTTTTGATTAATAAAATATCTAAGATCAATCAAAACATGTTTACAAGAAGCAGAGATACTTTATGAGTAACAGTAAACCAGTCAGATCGTCGCTAATTTATAAAGTGAACTTATTGATTACAGTAACAAATAAGTCAACCATCGATTCAATATTTATTTATTTAAGTCCCATGTATGTATGTTCATAACAAATTATTATTATATATATTATTATTATATTATATTATAATCGTAGCAATATGTCACTTATATCGACTAAAAATAGATTTCTAACAACAGATTAGCCGCGCTCGATTTCTTACAAACATTTCTGAACTTTGATCAATATGAAAAACACTTGTAATTTTTTGTTCAACTAAATATTCTTCGATGTACTGTAGCCTGTTAAGTCGTTCAGTGAGCCGCAACTGAATGATTCACGTCACAGCGTCCGATGTCTGCAACGCTTCGTACTAGCGCTGTGTACGTTAAAATACCGCGTTCAATTTTCGAGGCTCACCTCTGATGGTTTTGACCTTCGCAGTGTCCAAGATAATGGTTCCTCTTATCACTTCACCGGTCATGTATACGGCACCCGGCTTCTCGAAAATTATGCGGTACGTCCTAAGCGATGACATTGCTGTCAAACGTTTCACTAGACTTCACCGACTGTCGTATCTGATTCTTTTTATCGAGCGAGCATGTTCGATTTCATAGGAAGAGGGAGTTGGAAAAGATAATCCAGCGAACGCTGTTCGCAAACTGTTTCTGCACTGCCTCTGATACTCTTGCTGATATTATTGAACCCTTAGCGCTCTGTTGGCTCCGCTATGGAAACATCCGTCATTTGCTCCGTAAATCCGAAGACTCTGTTGCGGAGCCCAATGTTTTAGCATGATTGCACCGAAGATGCTACGTTTTTGTCGACGTTGGCAATTGTTATTTGTAGTGAAAACGTGCTTAGCGTGTGTACCATTACGATTAAAACATTTCTTGCCCATTTTTATACTTAGGCAACATAAAATGAATTAAATCAAACGCTTTCACAAGGACGTGTAATCTCTTCCGCTCAAAATAAGACATCCTTTATCTCGGACGCTTTGCTCCAAAAATGTGCCGGAGTTGCTGGTAGTGATATTTTCCAGTAAAACACTGTTCATCTTTATTTTAGAACGTCCGAAGAATATTTACTAATTTTTAATTTAATTTAATTATTAATTGAGACGTTTCCAGTAAAGATTAACAATAAAAAAAATTCCGGCAAACTCACGCGAAAAATATTTTTGTTTCAATAATTCCGTATCCAAACAGAATTCGACGGACGATTCGCAATGATAATTTTATAATAAATCGCGTCAAAGAACACGAGGGATATATTTATTTAAGAATTGCGAAGAATATCATTAATAGTAGATTTACCCATTTCGCTTAGAATGCCTGCGACCTAATGAAAATTTTACGAGTGCTTTCGTATCTGCAAGTGTTAACGGTCTCTTCGTCGTTTCTGTCCACCGTGATAAGTACAGCAGATTTCTAATCAAAATGAGTCAACGAAACAATAACAGGAAAGTACAATGTACTGAGACAATCAATCGCTACGGGTATCTTGTATATGTTTTCCAACTAAGCGATTCTTGCACAAGAGTGACTTTAGTAGTTGTCAAACAATTATTTTTCTGGATTATACAAAATGTAAATTTCCGATTGCATGTGTGTTTTTCATACGAAGTTATTTGAGCTTCTATTCTAAGTACTTTTTAATCGCTCGTAATAAGGGGGTCCTTTTTATGTAAACGGGTGATCATTTTAGTTCAACTTGATTAAAATAATTATTTGAACGATGCAGTAGAATTTAAGTTGTAAATAGTATGCAACTTATATAATATGGAAAGGATAACAATAAGATGTGAATTATGCGTAAACAATTGTATATGTATACAAAATTGTATATAAAGTTGTATCTAATTTGCACCGAAATAATAGGTCTGTCGATGTATAAGTAGGTATAAGTAGGTATAAGTAGGTCACACCTGTAGCTATAAGTTCATATAAATAATAATCGTTCATTCAAATATACGTGGTTCAGAGTATCCTGCAGTTTCGACGAAAACTTTTTTCCTATTTCTTCATTCATGGAGCACCTGGAAAAGAACATTCAATTAAAAGGGAAATCCACTAATATATAAGACATTTGGTGACAGCTGGTCAAAAATGTATGGAACGATGCTTCTTCTTTAATAAAGTATTTACTTGGTGGTAGATAGTTGAACACAGGGTACTTGGGTACGTAGACGGACTCGTCGTCATCTGGAATGTTCTGAGCTCCTAGCATGCACTCTTTATAAGATGGGGGAGCTAAACCGAATTCACAACGATAAAGAAAGTGTTAATTTCATAAATCTTCTGCAAAATCATTTTATACGATTTATTTGCAATTTGATTTGAGCTGTACGTCCCAGACAGAAATCATTGAATTTTTCAAATAATTTCTTACGTATGTTCCAGTTTGCGGAAGAATTAGCATGGTCCAAAGAATTAGCAGTGCTAGTGCTAGGCTGTGGTGTTTCTGGCATTGACATTGTACTCGATGTTGCAGGTTGTTCCGTGGGATATGGCATGGCATTCATCTGCTGAATAGCTGGTGCACTGGGCTCGCAATACAGTGGAATTGTTCCGATTAGGAGGGGGTAACTTCTCTGAAGTTTGAGGTGCCTGATTGTTGCGGGATAAAATATTTCTGAGTAAAGTATAAATCAGTAAAGTTTGTCTTTCAACTAAACAAAGAGATATCCGAGTAATCTATCGAATGATTGACTAATTAAAGATAAGAAGTCACGGTCGAAAGGAACGGAAAATTGTTTAACATCTCGGAAATCGAACTTCCGTTCATACGGTGTCGACCTTAGTCCGTTTAACGAATGATCTTATGGTGCTCGGAATTATCAGAATTTCAACACGATGAGTTATTTAAGTGATATGCGCGGCAGTTAGTTTGATCACCTTGATTGTTTCAGTAAGTTATTTTTCAAGATACGGGAAAACTTTGTTAACAAAAGTTGTATTGTTTCAAGCGGGTCGTAATGTCACAGGTCATCACATTACTGTCATTTTTTTAAATGACATGGCTATACTTTTCTATTCATAATTAAATAGCGGATATTTACGATTCCTTCGACCTGTAGTAGAAGGTTTTTCGATAACAGATACCAGGATAAAGCAGCGAGACTTTAAAAGTCTTACATCGTAAAACGTGCTCGAAGTGATGTCCGTTCGCATTGATGCAACATTGAAATCTAACTCGTCGCAGAACATGCTTCAGTTAGTCTTTATTTCATATTGCATTTCTCTATTAATAAGAAAGCTTATGTGTAACAGTAGTTGGAACTATCGTAGAAGAAATATTTACGTTTCTTACGATTTCAATGTCGCATACATATAGGGCTCTTCGAGCTATTTGTCTTCCTCCTTTAGCATTTTTTGTGTGGAAATGTATTAATAACGAAGTTATGAGCTGAAACAATTATGCAAACCACTCTACATACTTACGTGCCCGTGAAGTAGACAACCACCTTCAAGCAGTAATCCAAATTAATAATACTACAAAACGGTTGGTGGGATGGCAGGATCGGCGGCACCCTTATTTCCAGAGTAATGACTCGTTCCGGCGTAAAAGGTCCTGTATACGAAGAGGATATAATTTTGAAGTATTCGGTCTTCGTTTTGGTTGTCGCGCGAAGCTTGAGCACCTTGAAAGGAAAATGAGAAAAAAATTGATCGGGCGGCTCTCCGAATCACCTAGGCTTCACGTACTCGTTCCAATTTCAGTTCGATCTTCGTTATACCAACTTCGGAAGAAGCATTCTTGTAATTCACCGACGCGCTGATCATCTGATCTGGAACGTACCCAGAGGAAGGCACCCGGATGCTTGTGTTCATCGAGCCTAGGCCGAAGCAGCAGCAGAAGAAGTTTTTCCGAATTTCTTCGTGGATTCCCAACTGTTCAAGGAAGGCGATAATTCGCTTAACACTTTCAGTCGGTGATCAGGTTTGAAAAGAAATCGAGTTCATACGCATCTGTGTCGGTGCATGTTCAGATCGATAACGGAGACAACGGTGAATGCGATCTTGCATTCGTGATCGAACTTCCAGGGCCTGTCGATTATGACTTTCACCGTGTATCTGATATAGCCATGCTCGTGTTCGAAGCTGCTGGGGATGTCAGAGGGTAGTTGGAACTGGAACTGGTATTGCTGGCACCCCTCCGGGAGAAATATTCTCGAATCCGCTGCGAGATGTTGAAGAACATATTGTAGAGTTCGAGAATGTTTGCAGGATTAACCCTTTGCACTCGAGTGGCGACTTTGAGGCACCGCTAAGATTGTTATATCACGGTTCCAAAATCATTTGTATATTATTGAAGCCTTAGATTTCAAAAATTGTTAAAAGTGTAACCTGTTGTATGAGTCGCAAGACTCAATTTCGTGCGCATGAAATGCACCTTGTCATATAAAATGGAAATACTATGTAAGTCAGAAAAATTATTCTAGATTTATAGTTGAAATGGCTTCGAGTGCAAAGGGTTAAAAGCGTGCCGTTGCATACGTAACACTCTGTGACATTAACGCGAATGTGCACTCACGTTCACGTGCTTCCCGTATTTCGGCTCTTACGGAAAAGAATTGCTCAGAAGCCCTGTAGGTATTTCTTTTTCCTTCAAAACCTGATCTCATTTCGTTTTCCGTCCATTGAACAAAAGCTGACCCCTTGGCAATGATATAGAATCCTACGTTTCATTAATCAGGTTCCATGTAAATTAATCGTCGACTTTTATCGTATATCTGATTTAAGTAACGCGCGAACCACGTTCGCATACTTTGCTCGCAACGTGTAATCGCTACTTCTTTAAGGAGACGTTACACCTAGCGAGTTTCGAAATATTCAGCGTACGCGCAACAGTTTCTGGATCGCACACCGCACCGTAACGTTGATTTTATATCGGTCTTTTGTGCGAAATGTTTGTACCGCGTCATTAGCAGTTTACTAATGGTGATCGAGCCTCTGTCGCAACGTGTTATTAGACCATGGAGCGTTTGGTGCATACGAATTGGCGCAATTTCGTGACATCGCGAAGAAAATAGAAAATGCACTTTGCGATCTCCTATTACCAAACAGCACAGGGACGACAGGGGATTAATATCGGGATGTAACAATAAGATGAAAATTAACTAACAGCCTTGTTACGAGCCGAGGGCCAGGCAGCTTTGCGTGGCCGGAGGTTGCATGCAATTGGGATTTTTCTAAGCGAGATAGACCAGCCAATGCTCATTTCGGCACGGGTGGCTACTTTTAAGGTAAGGATAGGGTGCGTAGATCAGCTAATGCTTATTTCGGCACGGGTGGCTACCTTTAAAGTAAGGATAGGGTGCGTAGACCAGCCAGTGCTTATTTCGGCACGGGTGGCTAACTTTAAGGTAAGGATAGGGTGCGTAGACCAGCCAATACTTATTTCGACACGGGTGGCCACTATAGTGGCGCGTCGTGCCTAAAAGGTTAATACCGGAACTATTGCTCTGATAAATAATTGTATTCAATAAAGTTCTGTAACAAAATAAACATCCAAGCTAGTCATCTTGTCCCGTGTTGCTTGCGTCGAGTTTAAATCAAAACAATGGCGGCATTTGGAAGCTGAGCCATATGCTGATATTGTAATATTAACGGTTTAATAATATCGTGTTGGTAGCACGGATATATTGTAGATCCACCACAATATTGTACACCATAGTCGAGGGGCAGGATATAGTTTCGCACAAATCGTAATGCAAAAATACATCACCACAGACCCTTTGTACGTAATGGTCGCGATATCAGTGCATCGTGTTAATGAATTTAATATTTGATTATCGCGACCGCGATTTATCTTCTCTTTCCGTTGTAGTATGCGAGACTTTTTGATTAATAAAATATCTAAGATCAATCAAAACATGTTTACAAGAAGCAGAGATACTTTATGAGTAACAGTAAACCAGTCAGATGGTCGCTAATTTATAAAGTGAACTTATTGATTACAGTAACAAATAAGTCAACCATCGATTCAATATTTATTTATCTAAGCCCCATGTATGTATGTTCATAACAAATTATTATGTATCTTCATAGTAATATGTCACTTATATCGACTAAAAATAGATTTCTAATAACAGATTAGCCGGGCTCGATTTCTTACAAACACTTCTGAACTTTGATCAATATGAAAACCACTTGTAATTTTTTGCTCAACTAAATATTCTTCGATGTACTGTACCCTGTTAAGCCGATGTCTGCAACGCTTCGTACTAGCGCTGTGTACGTTAAAATACCGCGTTGAATTTTCGAGACTCACCTCTGATGGTTTTGACCTTCGCAGTGTCCAAGATAATGGTTCCTCTTACCACTTCACCGGTCATGTATACGGCACCCGGCTTCTCGAAAATTAGGCGGTACGTCCTAAGCGATGACAATGCTGTTAAACGTTTCACTAGACTTCACCGACTGTCGTATCTGATTCTTTTTATCGAGCGAGCATGTTCGATTTCATAGAAAAGATATACTTCGAGCGGACGTGACCAGTCGGAGTCGAAGTTGCCGGAGTTGGTCAATAATAAAATAATTAAACAGATCGGACTCACATGATTTTCCGATCTATGGTAACGGCTCAGTCAGGCTCGATTTTCTTGTTCCAAAGCGCAAAAAACTAGCGTCGGCCTTGGATCTTCCTTATCGCACGGGTCCGTCAGCAGACGATTGAATTATCACGAAATGGAAGTAAAGAAAACGAAAATAGCGAAAACTGTAAACTGTCTGCTTAGAATGCTTGCGATCTAATGAAAATTTTACGAGTGCTTTCGTATCTGCAAGTGTTAACGGTCTCTCCGTCGTCTCTGTCCACCGTGGTAAGTGCAGCAGATTTCTAATCAAGATGAGTCAACGAAACAGTAACAGGAAAGTACAATGTACTGAGACAATCAATCGCCACGGGTATCTTGTATATCTTTTCCAACTAAGCGATTCTTGCACAAGAGTGACTTTAGTAGTTGTCAAACAATTATTTTTCTGGATTATACAAAATGTAAATTTCCGATTGCATGTGTGTTTTTCATACGAAGTTATTTGAGCTTCTATTCTAAGTACTTTTTAATCGCTCGTAATAAGGGGGTCCTTTTTATGTAAACGGGTGATCATTTTAGTTCAACTTGATTAAAATAATTATTTGAACGATGCAGTAGAATTTAAGTTGTAAATAGTATGCAACTTATATAATATGGAAAGGATAACAATAAGATGTGAATTATGCGTAAACAATTGTATATGTATACAAAATTGTAGGGCAATCGTCGTTGAAGTCTGTAGATTGAGAGTCACGATCTCCAATTAATCAACAGGTTGCTACCCGAGTACTGAATCGGAAACATTGATTCTTTCGAGCACGAGCTATCAGTATTATAAGTCACCTTTTCTTTTCATCGAATCTTTAGATAGTCCTGCATTCAGAAATAAGCGCAAAATGTATGCAGTTTGAAGTAAAATTCTTGTACCGAAAACTATATACGGATTAATGAAGGGATTTAGTTTCCATGTATGCAAGAATCATTTAGTAAATTCTACTCCTATGTAACATGTATAATTAATAATATATCTGCCTCTATCATGATGCACGATAAGGATAGAGTGAACTTTGACAAGTGCATTTTAGGAGAAACATTTAATGAGGTACGAACCAGAAAGCCAGAACTGATATAATACAAGATATATAGTATATACATATATGTACATATATATATGTATGTATATACGATACACTCTTTTAGGGATATAAATAATTTAGCAACAATATGAATTATCTATTTATATTATTCTTTGATAGCACATTAGTAATGGCACAATCAGTATTCCACGCATAGCGTGTATAAAAAGAGACAATATTATCTTATCTTCCCAGATAATGCATCGAATAACGGAGAATTACAGAATAAGCTGCTTTTATCAGAAGTAATGTATTCGAGATTACACGAACGTAAATCTTAATACATTTTTCACGGAATAATTAAACATGATTGCGACTTATTTATGTTACAGTAATGTATACGAATGTATGTTCAAATGATAATACATGATTTTAAAGAGTAATAAATGACGTTTCATAAGAGAGATGAGTGCAATTCCTTCGTAATTAACTCAGATGCTGCACTTCAAAGTCAAATTTCGGCAGTGTTTGGAATACCTTTCCGAGTAACTGTATATCGTGGGACACTACATAGACTTTCCATTTGTAAATAAAACTTTCTAATAAAATTACCGTATCTGCCGCTTTCTTTTCGTTCATTCTCTAGGATATAATAACGTTTTCTTTGAAGAAAGTTTCTGAAAACGTGTCACCTAAAGAACTGAAATATAAATATGGTGGAAAGATTGATTTTTTTTTATACATAAATAAAGAAATTTTATCTTTTGGGTGAAATATAACCCGGCTTCGGCTTTCGTCCGACTATCAAACTTTTAACAATCTTACAGTCATTGCTTTAGTCATCTTACAACCCGAGTTTCACTGATTTATAATAATATTGATAATCAAAATAATAATGATAATAATATATATAAATAAAACTTCGCAATCTACTGGCAACGATAATAATAACCAAAGCTCGTGATTTCAGGTGGATCACTCCGTGCGATAAGATTTAATTGGAGGATCCTGCGCTTTCGGGACCAAGGAAAGTTCGGCCTAGTCGACCAGAGGGATTCGGAGGTAACGCAACAGTAAAATGAAACGAATTGGTAAAGAGGCACGCGCGAAGAAAAGGAAAGCCCCGGGAAAGCGAGTTGGAAGGTTGAGCAGGGTGAAATTGGTGTGGCGGGGGTTGCATTGATGGTAGCCCGCACGCTCCAACCCCTCAGTAACGCGGCAGCCTCCGCCGAGGAAGCACAACGGTTTTCTCTCTTCGGTTTCCGATGTAAATAATGCCGCTGCGCCATCTCAAATTCCTATCAGTGCCACGACACTTTAGTGGATGATCGTCGTCAGTGTTCGCATCGAGGATTTGCCTTTTACGAAATCGTCTCGCTGAAAGCGCAAACGCGGCCGGCGAAGAACAATGCGATGCTACCACTCGTACGACTGCGATCAACAGGTTAATTCTTCGTAGACGAACTGTGAGTACAGCACCGTCCAGTTCTCGAACTTTCAACCTGTTTTGTTCAACCGAGCTTCGATCAATTCGTGGGCGATGTTAACGAATTGTTAAATTCAATTATGTCCGGCCTTCGGCAAGAAAAGGTGGTCAATTTGCATTATACAACGATTCGGCCCGTTTAGTTGTTGAAAATAGGTTCTCGACGGATTGAATTTGTGCGGGCCATGGTTTAATAGTAATTACTTGTATTGAGAACTAGATTACGATATTTGCGCCGAGACTAATGAGATGTTTTTCAATTAAACCCTTTCGCTGTTTGCACTGGGAAATGAATTATGCTTTCCCAGTGAAAAAGAGAAGTTCTATCGAAGGGAAATTGCGACATCGCGAGATTCGAACGATGCACTGAGAGAAAGAGAGAGAGATAGAGATTGCAATTTTTTATTCCTTTCTGCACCGAGTTTTCCTTTCCAAATATTACACTGGAAAATTACGAGCTGGTTTTGATGTTTGCTCTCTTGTCTCGCGATAGGATCTATTTTTTTTATCGATGTTTGTGCAATATAAAATGTTTACAAGATTTCCATTTTCCGCGTTGCCGGTCGTGAAGTTGTCTAGCGGTGTTTTTGTTGTGCGAATTTACGACGAAAGATCTAGGTACTTTATCGCCGTTCGTTGCCGTAAATGTGCAACTTTATGTTAGGCTGTGCCATAAGATTTACAGCAACCAGTGGAAGCAATTTAGGGGCATTTAGCGTAGGAACGTTAATTGAATACGTTTACGAAACTGCACGTAGGAAGCTTAGGCAGAAGGGTCTCTTGAAACGCAACGATTTTATTCAATATTCTGTTTTATAAGCGTTTCAACGGATTTCGTTCTATGTCGAGCGTGAGTAATACTTAGAAAAACGAAAACATCTTTCTAGTTGCTCGATTTTAAATAACAACAACGGTTGTGTGTGCCGTACTTGTTCCTATCGTTAATAGCGTAATAATTTGCAAATTGTTTCCACGACCTTCTTAATTCCTCAAAAAGGTAATATATAACCCAAACTTTCAAAGCTCGAAGTTTAATTAAATCATTCTAAGAAATCCAACTTATACTCTCTCAAAATATGCAGCAAATGTCACAGAAAAGTTACATATTTTTGGACCATCGTGCTGTGGGTAGAATTTTAAATTAACGACTTACACGTTTACGTTTTAATTTCCCTAGATGGTGAACACATTTGTAAATGTTAAAATCGAGAAAACTGAAGCTTTTCCTTCTCGATCCAGTTATTTAATAAATGGACGACTTACACGTTTACGTTTTAATTTCCCTAGATGGTGAACACATTTGTAAATGTTAAAATCGAGAAAACTGAAGCTTTTCCTTCTCGATCCAGTTATTTAATAAATGGACGACTTACACGTTTACGTTTTAATTTCCCTAGATGGTGAACACATTTGTAAATGTTAAAATCGAGAAAACTGAAGCTTTTCCTTCTCGATCCAGTTATTTAATAAATGGACCGTGCTTATATCACACTTTCAAAGTAGAAGATTTTCTCGTTCGTGTAATCTTACATTGACCCTTAATTGTTATAACGAGGACAAAATAAATGGTTGATTCACTAGGATCATAATGGACTCGAGATAAAAAGTGCAACAAATTTGTTAATTTCTAGATCAAGGATTCTAGATAAACGCTTCATCGATATTTTATTCTTTATCCTCCAGGCTTCGAATGTTTCGTACGTGGGTATGCAACATTTACATAATTCGAAATCAGCAAGTATCAATCTCGAGACGTAAATTAACGACGAGTCGAAGATTTAACGCTAAACCTACCGAGCAGTAATACTAACCGGCATGTACTGCTTCACAAAAGTGAGAAGACCGAATTTATTTAGAATTTGTAAAGTTTTTATCATAAAACTCGCTCCGATAATATAACTTATTCAAGCGTTTTCCACGAAAGAGTCTCGAAACTTTGCAGAATTGCAAAATAAGAAAGCGGTCGCTTCGACCGCGGTAGGTTTAGTGTTAAACAAAATTGAGTTTACAAAACTGAGTTTGTCCTTGATTACGAAGTGGAAGTGGTAACAGAGCAAGATGCTTGCACGACATTGTTACGAAGAAATGAAATAACATTGACAAATTTGATAAGTTCGCATGCGATTTCGAGAAGTTATATTCTACAAAATAATAGAAACCTAGAAAATCAAACTTTTACTACAAACTGAAATAGAAATATCACGGGTCTCTCATGACCTCGGTATACCAGTTATAGTGTCGTGCGTTGAAAACGTGTAACAGATTTGACCAACAGCTCGCTAAATAACAGTACTTACATATTTAGACAATTTTCGCCGATTCGCAACGGGCGAATTTAGAGAATAAAATCGCCGCGTACGAAGCTGGCTCGTAGTTAAAAAAAAGAAAGTCCAACAGATTTCCAATCGATCAAAATTTTCAGGTTGGTCACCCGTAGGAGCAGCGCACATCGCGTCGAGCGTGTCAGCTTTAATGGCCGGCTGTCGAAAGGTTTCCCACGAACGGTTGGTTCCTTGTCGCCATTACGCGGAGACATCGCCGGGTCGGGGCACGCGAAGGGGGCAGAAAATCACGGCTCGCTGAGATGAGAATCGCATCCGGGGCGAGCGGTTCGCGGGTCGTTCAGAGAGAGCTCGAGCCGATTCGGAAGCGAGGGAGATCTTGGGTTTCATCGTCGCCGACGGAAGCACAATGAGCCGAGAGCCGGCAGTGCCTCTCGTTCTGTAGATTGAAAGGAAGGCGGAAGCGGACGCGATCAAAGAACCGCCGGCGGAGGGGTATTATTCACCGAGAGGACGACGAAATGGCGACGAGCAGCCCCGGACAATCGATACATCTGAAATCCCCGCGGAGTCCTCGTCAGCTACCGCAACTGCCTCAGATTCCGATCGGCGGCCAAAGGAGTCCCACGCAGTTGTCGGTGACCAAGACGCCCGGCACGCCTCTCGTCTTCGAGTTCCCGCCGGAGTTCAGCGGCACGGAGACACCGAACACGAACTTCGACTTCAAGGAGTTCAGCCGATCGAGCGATGGCGACCGACCGCCGAGAAGTCCGGGCAGCTACGCGCGCAAAGGGTGCAGGAGCCCGAAGAGTCCGAACAGGGACCTGTTGCATTCCCCGGGCCAGAAGTCGCCGACGTTCCAGTTCTGCGAGTCGCGAAAGAGTCTCGGGAAGACCATGAGCTACCCGCCGAAGAGCCCGATCTCCGGGCCACCAATGGTCCCGACCAGGTCCTCCAGCTCCTCCAACTTCCGGTCAAAGAGCCCGAAGCCTTTCGACCACAGGAGGAACTCCTGCTTCGGGATCACCGGCTCCAAGAGTCCTCTGTCGCCGACGATAGTCACGTCCCATGGCCCGGCCAGTCCGAAGTACTCGGAACTGAACCTGGATCATCAGCCGCAGAATTCCCCCAGTTATACGAGCGGCTCGAGGAGGTCCTCCGTGGAAGGATCGTTCAAGGACAGGAGCGACAGTCCTGCCGAGAAGAAACCTGCCAAGAAGGGCTGCCACTTCAATCGGAGCCAAGGGTGCCTCGACGAGGCCGGGAAGGGCCAGGCCAACGAGATCGACGATGCCTATGCAAGGAACATGTCGAGACGGTCTACCAGTGACTTGACCGAGATCGACGACGTCGATACGGAGGTGACGCTGCTGTCCAGTCCAAGGAGAAGAGGTTCGATGAAGGGCGGACTCGGTAAGTTACCACTCGCTGCGTTTTTCGTTTGGTTTTCCCGGGGTCGCACGGTGCTCTCGTTAGCTGACCATTGTGGCCAACCTGCGACTGTGTCCTACTTGATGCACTGTCCTCTTTCTCCCTCTCTCTCTCTCTCTCTCTCTCTCTCTCTCTCTCTCTCTTTCGCTCGCTCTCGCATCATGCAAGAGCCATTTTAAAGGTGGTCTCTGTCAAGAAGTTTGAACGTTCGTTTGCTCTGACCCTATTTTCGAGGGCAGGAATTTTTGCCAGCGTTGCATATTGCCTCCTGCTGTTCTCGCGGAGTTGCTCGATGCGCTTTTCCGGTACACCGCAGATGCACGGAGAAAAAGATCTATTGGTGTACGCGTGCTGTGACAATGTAACTGTCCGGTTGTTTGGAAAAGTAATTTCGGTTTGTTGACAATTACAAGCAAGCTTGACGAACATATGAGAGATCGTAATAAATGTGTCAAATTCGCAAATTCGTTTACAAGCAGCGATCAATGGTAAAATCAATTATTCGTTGAATCTATCGCGTCGAGGAGCAGTTAATTATCGATTTCCTTCCGCGAGAGTGTATTTCGTTCACGTTCGCAACGCACCCACCGTTATGTTATCCTTATCGAAAATATCTAATTATTTGCACATTAAAACGGGCGTACACCCGCTCGATTAACGAGCTCTGATCCGCTTGAAATTATACATCGAGTTACGTAACGTCGTAACTTTTAAGTCCTTGTAATCTGTCCGAAGGAGTTTTTAATTAATGTCGCGATTCAACGGCGAACAAACGAGGATCTGAAATTTTCGTCTGCAATGATACGCGTGAATTATATTACAGTAACAGTAATCGGTGGTGCTGTTTCATTTTCGCATAAGCTCTTGCCACCGTTCGTCGGGTCCTCGGGTTTCACAACTTTGAGTAGATGTTTCCGACAAACTCTTCCGTCACTTCGATACAAATCCACAATTTTAGTAGGCAGTTAGTGTGTAAACAGCTTGTCGTTCCATTCTCCACAAACTTTTCATTTCATAATGCCAGTTAGAGAGAGTTGATAATTGTGTTTCGGAACGTCGAGGAGAGAGAGAGATTATCTCTGTAAATAATATAAAGTTATTCATGAATCAAATATTACCTCGAGTGCTTTATAAATAACGCTGTCTCTGCTTGGTACATGATGTTTCACATTAACCCTTTGCACTCGAGTGGTGACCCTGAGACACCACTAAAAAATTGTTATATCACGTTCCAAGATGATTTTTACATTGTCAAAGTTTAGATATAGAACATTGTTAAAAGTCTAACTGTTGTACGAGTCACGAGAGTCAATTTCACACGCACAAAATGCACTTTGTCATGTAAAATGGAAACACCATAAGTCGGAGAAATTCGTTTAGATCTACAGTTAAGATGGTTTCGAGTGCGAAGGGTTAAAGTCTCCGATACCAGGCGAGTTTCTTTTAGAAATTAACAAAGTATGCGACGTGTGCTACATAAGAAGCGTTCGATTTAACGTAATTTTAATCCGGGCGCCTTCTTGGTTCGATGCGAAACGATAACGAGACGCTTTCCTCGGATACACCGGAAACTCGTCACGTTTCGCCGGTCCGTGACAATTCTCGTAATCAAGGGGGAATTGTCGAGCGGAACCGCGGAATACGAATAAGTGCGCGTACATGGCTTGAATAATCGTCTCGCGAGTAAGTAAAACCGAAAAGCGCGTCCACGGAACGCTCGAAAAAAATTCTGCAGTTTTCCGTGTTCCGTTTGGAAGATAGGGAAATCCGTTTTGGAATATCGAACTGTGGCGTGGCGCGACACGCTACTTTTTTTCACATTCTCCGCTTAGTTAGTTTCCTGCATTGTTAAACGAATAGAGCCGATTACTGGCACTGCGAACAATTTTTATGGATCGTCAATGCCAAATCCACCGAGTGGCAGAATACGTGAGGGTGCATTAATCCGAATATTTGCATTTATTTATTTATTTATTTGGTGAACTTGCCAGGAGAAGCCTTCGTTACATAAGATAAAGAGTAAGATAAAATAGAATGTATGCATGCGCGCGTTTCAAATTTATTTATACGGTACACGGTATTTTATAATTAGTTGCCGATGCGCCGCAAATTTAACCTTATTAGAAGTAAAAATCGCGGACTTGGTTCGCTTCGAGCGCGAGTCGCCATTGTCTCCGGAGCATTAAATGAATCCCTGGCAAAATCGTCGGCTTAGCTTGTAGAACAATTGGGATTCATCTAATTACAAGCAATCCCATGAGCGCCGAAAGATATCACATCGTAGCACGTAGACAAAGGGCGGATTAAAAATCGGGTCGCCACGGTGTAATCATTTTTCCGTCTGTCGGCCTGATGGGATTCTCATTTAGAGACCGGGGAGTAGAAGAAGAACCTGCTGCCCCATCCTCCTTCGTTCGTCTTCCATTTCTTTCTCGTCCTCGAACCTATAACCCGTTCCTTCCGTCGCTGGAAGCTGGTCGACCGGCTATATTTCGGAAACCAAATCCCGTAATCCTCTTCGACCTTTAATCCGCTCGCTGGTTCGAGCCATTTCCGGATTGAAGTTCGACGACGAATTAGTATTGATATTACATAAGTCGGTGATTATTGGTCGGGGCGAAATCAATCGTCGTTTAACCCGCTCATAGGCTGTGCAGCGATTGGTAATCAGATCTGGTCGACAGGCGTGATACCAGTGTTAACGCATGATTTTTCAAATCGAAGCACTCGATAAATTTCAAATACATTTTCTCGATACTTTTATTACGTCTAATTGAACTGAAATTTTTGCATTTTCTTACACGCGCATAGTATTATTTTTTTTTCATTGTTGTAATAATAATAATAATGATGATACTAGTGATAATAATAATAATAATAATAATAATAGTGACACTAGTGATAGTAATAATAATAATAATGATGATGATGATGATACTAATGATAGTAATAATAATAATAATAATGATACTAATGATAGTAATAATAATGATACTAATGATAGTAATAATAATAATAATAATGCTAGTAATAATAATAATAATAATAATGATACTAATGATAGTAATAATAATAATAATAATAATTTTTTAAGTATTTTAAATGTATTTTTTTGAATTTTTCTATTTTAGAGGGACTTTGGAAAAAGGTCATATTATATATTGTGAAATCAAATCCATATATTTAGAAAGTATATTTACTAACAAGGCAGTAAATAATCGTTTGAAACATTACTTTGCCACCACTGGTAACGAATGACTGCGTGCGGCACCGTATCACTGTTTTAATTGGTTATTGGACCTCGTCCAGAACGAAGCGCGCTAACAAATGTGGACATAACTTTAGATGGACAACGATCTTTGCTGGCCGTTTGCTGGCTGGCTGATGAAATTGCTTGACATATACCTTTCTCCGTGTGTTACAGCCTATCTAGCGTCCAGACGTGGCTCTCGCGACAGCCAGTGCTCCAATTTGTCGAACGTCAGCAACGAGGACGTGGGACCGTTGAACTTCACTGCTCACCCACGCGGCAGACAGCGCAGGACCTCCAACTTTCTCGAGCTGCCAGGTAAGCACATTTTTCTTCGAGTTCGCCCGACGCCGATTTTTCTCTCGCACAGACGTGACTAGGCTGCAAACTGGACAAAAAAATGCTTTCCAAATTGATGGTGCACCCTGAATGTCTGTGCATCTTAAAAGTTTGTCGACCCCTTGAAAATCTCGCCTGGCCTGCCCTGACGTTAAGGTGATTAGGCTGTTAAGCCCGCGCGTCGCCCCTTCGATTAACTCGATCTTTGTAATTGCGTATCCTAGTTAATTAACGAGATTCGTTAATAATTGGTTGAAATTTCTCGGGGAATCAAGAGCATCGTTGAGCACGACTGCTTAACGGATTCATGCTGGTTCGTAGTTTGTTTTTTAGATAGAACTTTAAGAAATATATAGATATTATATATACTATATACTACTATATATAGTTTATATTATATTATATACTATTATATACTATTATACTATATTATATACTATTATATTATATTATATACTATTATATACTATTATATACTATTATATACTATTATATTATATTATATACTATTATATACTATTATATTATATTATATACTATTATATACTATTATATACTATTATATTATATTATATTATATTATATACTATTATATACTATTATATTATCTATTATATACTATTCGAACAAGTTAATGAGGAAAGTGTCACTAATTTATCGAAGATGTCACTGATTGACGTTAACTGCAATTCCATGGCGGGAACCTTCACGCAGGCCCGGAGATGATAAGCGAAGATTGTAGCCACTAAATTAGTCCCGCACCATATCCGATCAATACCGAATCTCTGTCACCCGGTAGAGTGATTATTAGGCGAACTAATCGTAGTAAACAGTTCCCGTTGTTACGTAAGCTATCTCAGCTGAATAATATATATATATATGTAATAAAGTTGATGTTGTCACAAGCCGCTGCAACACATGTAACAAAAAGAAAATTGATATAAAACCATATATTGTGACAATCATGGCGAATTTTTCTCATCAATATCATCTGGAGGTAATCAATTAGCAAGTTGAATTCCTCTCGACGTCGCCTACGATACAATGAAGTTAAAATTTATCTAGTTTCAATTTAAAAGCATAACGGTGACCTTGGTTTTTTTATCGAAAATCAATTTATTTTTAAATTTAAATAATTGCAATTTCTTGTCAACGTTAAATACCGATTAGCTTTTATGCGAAACATTTTTTTGTCGAACTATCGGATGGGGCTGAAAATTCGTGGGGACTAATTTATGACTCATCCTGCCTATATTACTGCAATATTACGTTCTCTATCAACACATTTGTTATAACGAACGTTTGTCAAAGTTATATCACCGTCTAAGAACGGATTTTGTTCTCATATTTTCGTATCCCAAATAAGTTCGAGGGAAGTTGCTATCGAGGGACGCGGTAAAGTCCTCTAAATCCTAATCAGAATTTTATTATAAATCTGAAAAGTTTCAAGGATGTCACGCCTATGTTATGAATCCAGTCCTACTTAGTCTTTGACATTGATAACTTTCAAGAAGAACCGAACCTTTTCGATGTTATCCGCGCGACTAATCGATCTAGATGGTTCTCGATCTAGATCTCGTTGGTTTCCAAGAACCAGGTACAAAAACTCGCATTCTGTCAACTATATTTCCCGAAAAAGTACTAAATGAAATGTATCACTCGTGTGTCACTTCTTTTTAAGGGGACTGTTGATCTGCTCGATATCCACGTACACCGAATAAATCTTTGGAAAAGCCAGCTGCGTTTCGATTGCCGCGACAATTTTCACGTGTCCGTGTCACTCGCAAATTTGAATAACGCGGCCCTGACAGTTGAACGAGATTTTCACCCAGAAACTGGGTCGAGTGATCAAATCGAACGTTATTCCTTGCTTTTTTAAGCATGCGTCGCTGTTTACGTGGAACTGTATCGGAAGTGGCACGCAGCTACTTGCCCTGGTTCGACCATTGAATGCACAATACCCCAATGCAGAGCGAGGTCCCCGTTAGCCAAATGAATGCACTCGCCTATTCGATAGAACTGATTATTCCCGGGTCGCGCGACGAAAACCCTGACGTTAGCAAATTACGCAATTATTTCGCGAACAATTACCGCGCGAGAGAACACTTGCAATCGATTACCTAGCAGAACGTTCTGTTACATCGACAAGAGAACAGTTCGCAAAGAAACCGCGCTAATTGACCCAAAATTCTCGTTCGTAAAACGGCTCGCAACCTGGACAGTGATGCAAGGTAAACGATTCCTAAAACGAAAGATCGGAAATGAAACAGAAATTTTCGAGAAAACCGATTAGGTCACTTTCCGTCGTCGACTGAAAAACTTAACCCTTCGCGCTCGAAGCCATTTCAACTGTAAATCTAAATTGATTTTTCTAACTTACGGCATTTCCGTTTTATATGATAAAGCGCATTGTACGCATATGAAATTGACTTTTGGGACCCGCGCAACAGTTACACTCTTCGCAATTTTTTAAAATCTAAACTTTGTTAACACTATGCCGTCCGGTGGCATGCAAAAACTATCTGTTGTACGCCGGTGGTATCACTTTGGTGCCATTTTAAAAAACTGAAATAACATTTGAACTATATTTCTTGGATGTTGGATCTCGTACAACAGTTAGACTTTCAACAATTCTTTTACGCTTTGACTTGTACAATGTAAAAATTATCTTGGAACGCGATGTGACAATTTCAATGGTGCCTCAGAGTCGCCACTCGTGTGCAAAGGGTTGAAACACCGTTTCTTACCGCGCGCGAACGATCCTTGGAACGCGAATATCTGCCCTAATCAGAAACTGAATCGATTCGATGTTACGCAGGAAGACGAAGCATCAAGATTCTAAAGTCCGCTGCAATTCCGCAGCGGGAATATCGTATTCGCCGAGATATGATCGATGGTCCATAATTTCACGGAGCAGAGCACGCCTCCTCGAATATATCCCCGTGAAACTCCGTTCCGCGCTTCTCCACGGGAATAGTATAATCGCGCGCATTTATACGAACCCGAAGACCTTCCTATGCAGATGATGGATAAGTGTTTCCGGATTAATCATCGCATGTCACGAGATTCAGGAAGCTCCGAACGCGCGAGGAATCCTTTCTCGATCGATAAATCTTTAAATGCTCGTCGAGGATCGAGCCAGCTGGGAGGGCAATATACCCGGATGAAATCATTCAAACAATTTCCGGCATTCTCGGGGGATCGCCGTCTGACAGGTTCCCTGGCCCCGAGGGTAGTCCGGTGTATCACATTGACAGATTAGGTGCCGGGATAGCCGGCGTCTGCGCATCAGAAATTAATTACGCGCTCGCGTCCGCCGGGTAAATACTTTCTGTAAACAGAAGCCTCGCTACAGCTGCGGAACACGACTGGACGATTATTAGGGCCGGCGATATTGGAAGACGCTGGGGGATCGAGGACGCAGGGCTGATACAGAATAGGGTTGCTCGGTCCGATATCGTTCATTATTACACCGTGAACGGTCAGCAACAGATTATCACCTCGGGGGCCTGCGAACACGGCCATGATTAGAGAGTGAACATAACGAATCTGTTGCGCTTCCGATATTGGACAATGCTGCGCTTCCTTCGTCGAGCAGCGCGTTTTCCCGTGCGGGGAATGTGTAGATGACGTATCTCCTCGGGCATTGTTGCATCATTGTCCTAGGTATCGATACAAGGTTTGCCTTCGGCATTCACCTATTTGAAAGTCAAGTTCGTCCACGGTAGCGGACAAAAGATTATGATGAGAAAAAGGAAAAAAAAAACTAATAAAAGCTTTACCGCGGTAGTCCACTTCGATGCAGCGAAAATGTGCACGTAAATATGGTGCAGACATCGGAAGACATTAACACGCTGGTTGCTTCTCAATTGTGGTCAGTGTCTTCGAATATAACCAACGTTTCTCTTGAAACTCGCATTTAATTTGTCGTTGCGAAGATTCCGTAAATTCGAAGTACGAAGAATCGTATTAATCTTTCGCACTCGAGTGGCGACTCCGAGGCGACGCTAAAAATTGCTACGCTACTTTCGAACAAATCTTCACGTTGTTCAATTTATCTGTGTTCGATAAATCGTCGAATAATAATAATAATAATAATTCGATAGAAATCTTCTATAAGCACACACGTTCAATTTCATATGTATAATATGATATACAGGATATCCCAAAAATGTTTCGCAATCCGAAAGTGGCTGGTTCCTTAGGTCATTTGAAGCAACTTCTTCCTTTACAAAAATTTTCTCCGAGGCACCGTTAACGAGTTATCAACGAAAAACAGTGACCAATAAGAATCGAGTACGGCTGACGCGAGGCGGCCCAGCCAACCAGCGCACGAAGCCCAGTTCCGCTCAATGGCTCGATCGCCTCGCGCCAGCTGAGCTCGCCTCTCATTGGTCAAGGTCTTTCGTTAATAACTCATTAACGGTGCCTCGGAGAAAATTTTTGTAAAGGAAGAAGTTGCTTCAAATGATTCGAAGAAACCGCCATTTACTGATTGCGAGACATTTTTGGGACATCCTGTGTATATATATATATTTATAATATATATAAATGGAAATAATGTAGGTTGAAACAAATGTCTTCATCTTGGAGTTGAAATAGTTTCGAGTGCAAAGGGTTAAATCGACTGCAGTTGCATCGAAACGCGCATATAAAGTCATTTCAGCGGAAACCAAGAAATATTTAACTTCCCACTCTTTTCTAGGTTTCCGCTGAAATGACTTTATATGTGCGTTTCGATGCAATTGCAGTCGATTTATAACCCCTTACACTCGAAGCTATTTCAACTCCAAAATGAAGGCATTTGAGACCTCGTATCGACCCGACCGAGTATGAAGGATAGTTTGGAGGCTTAGAAGACATCTATGGTGATTCAAACCAGAGAGGAACCTCGGAGAAGATAATTTTCTCGCGGGAGAAGCTGCGATCTAGCAGTAAATGTGAAGGAAACATGTGAACAAATGCGAGAAGAAGCGACG